ATTAGCTTCAAAGGGAACTGAGACTCTACTCAACCCCTGGCCTCATCAAGGGCATCTTTGTAGTTCTACGAGCTGCCAGGTCTCTAGGTTGAGACACAAGACTGGGGAGGCAGGGCGCAGATGTTTGAGTCCAGGCCCCAGGACCAGTCCCAGGCTGGTTACCCGTAAGGCAGTGTCACAATGTGCTCCTGGGACACCCGACAGATGTTTTTTGGAACTGGCACCGAACTCTTCGTGGAACCCCGTGAGTTGATTTTTTTCCCCTATATTTCTATGAATAATTTGAGCCCTGGGACTGGGGCTGCTATCCAGTTTATGTTATAAATTATAACAAGTAGATTAACTTGTCACTAGGAGATGGTATGGTACAGAGGTGAAGTGGGCCAGAGTGAAGACACTGAGCCACTGAAGAAACTCTGTAGCTCTTTTCATTTTAAATATATGTATACTAAAACACAGTCCCCACTTACCACTGAAATTTTCAGTGTGACCCAGAAAATAAATCTGAGAAAAAAATTTTTTTTACTAATAGTTGGAGCATTCAGGTACAGGGGAAATAGTGACAGGAACACTTTGGCACAAATTCTCCAGGAAGTTGCTTAATCCTAAACATATCCCTGACTAATATGCATGCCTCCTTGCAAATCACAAATGTTCTTCAGCTTGTGAGATCTTGGAGAAAGGTGGTTAGCTTGTTAGAGTAATCAGGTACAGCAAACTTTCAGAATTTAAGTGAAATTTCATATTGGCAGACAGTCTTGAAATTCTGAGTGATATTGATTACAGATGTTGTGATTCTTAGAGGACCAGGAAGATTCTTAATGAGAATCTAAAATAGAAGATATCTAATATCATAAATTAAGAAAAATTGTTCAGGAAGGGTATATACTTCTTCTGTATTATTTGCCAACACATAATCTTAGCATTGTATTATTACTCATAAAAAAAGAAGTACAAAAACAAAATAACAATTGTCCAAATTGACTCTAAACACATAGTGAAATTTAGTTATATTCATGGAACAAGAAGAGACACTAGTCTCAGAAGATAAACAATTAAACCTTTTGTTCAAATCTTACGTAAGAATAAATCTTGTCTTTAATTTTATATGACTTCAAATTTTTGTGTAAGTCAAATATAAAGGCAACAAGGATACATATGGCAACTACATTGAGTGTGTTGTATTTATATTTAAAAAAGAAAGTTTCAGTTCATTCAGAGAGCCTTTTCTTTGGTTACCATGATACCAAGTAATGGATCAAATAAAACACTTTTCTCTCAATTATTTTGAACATGTAGATATTAAGTTAGAAAGAGAATCTGAAGAAAAAATCCTTTAAAAACTCAGTGCATTATATTCTTTCTGAAATGCTGAGTAATAGATTCAGAGCTCAGTATCATGAGTGCATGAACTTCAGAAATCTATTCTTGTCAGCTATATTACATGGTTCAAATTAATTAAAGCCAGGTGTGATAGTGCATGCCTGTAATGCCAGGGACTCAGTGGGGCAGAGGCAGGAGGATCACAAGTTCAAGCCAGCCTTGACAACTTAGTAAGACCCTGTCTCAAAATAAAAATATAAAAGCGACTGGGAACATAGCTCAGTAGTAGAGAGTCTCTGGTCTTAAAACCCAGTACTGAAAAAAAAAAAATTATTTGAAATCAATTTCCCCAACCCAAAGTGATCATTGGCAACTGCCTGATTAATTTAGACTTTTAAATCCTAAGCAAGCCTTTATTGTCCAAATAAATCAGACTAGGATTGGGTCATCCGTTAAATAACCAAGAAGACAGTGGTTGGAATGTTTTGTTGTTGCTCTTTGGGGGGTTGTTTGGTTGTTGTTTGGGTTTTCTTTTTTTAAGGGCAAATATCCTTTCTAACTCATAATTCCCTTGAAAAATCAACCATTCTACATCTCAAACCCAAGGCAGGATAGTGAACAAGAAATACCACAGTTGCAAAGGGAGGTGAGTGGTGAGGCCTGTGGTTTCCAACCGTTAGCACTAGGGTTATTCGTTTCTGCTATCAGGGTTTCAGCTATGCAAGAAAACAGAACAGTGAAGGTTTTCTCATGCAGGTTGAAAGCCAGTTCCAGGAAAGCCCTTTGAAAAAAAATCCCAATCTCCCCTTTTGTCTAGAGCTAAAGCCAAAAAAGGATGAGTTTCCAGCCCTGAGTGACTGGAACAGAATACAGTCTTTTGGCTGAGCTTCTTGGCAGAGAAAAAAAAAAATGGAGAATTTTGATAGCAGTGATGAGAGGGTTTCCTCTGAACAGCTTATTCCCTAGAAAAGCCCTGAACAGCAAGGTTTATCTACTAAATGATGCTCAGCAGGAACTTCCTGACCAGCAATCACTCCCTCTCAACCGGTTTCAATCAAGAGATCTGTTCTAGTTTCACAGTCATGAGCCACACAGCAGAAGCTCAAATCCAGATTCTGGGCAGAGCACTAGAAAAATCTTTCTTTCTCTGTCTACACATTCACCATCAAGACTTTCCTTCTAGTAATACCCAATTGCTTGCTTGTAGATCACAGAAAAGAAAAAGCACACTAGAATTCAACATGTTTTTCATTGGATATCGAGAAGTCAAACACTCCAAAATTATCAACACTAAGCCATATTCGTAAGAGCAAATTAACATTGAAAATCAAAAATGAAGCTTAGGATTGAAAATACATCCATATTGCCATGCTCAGGTTGATTTTCTTTCCTAACTCCAGGTACTAGCAAGTCTCCTTCTTTAAGAGATGGTATGAGATAGCCTACGAGTTTCCAAGTTTCCATGGACACAAAATTTATCACAATTCAGAAACTTCAATAAGGCACAGTGTGAAAAAAAATCATTACTACATTTCTCAAAGCTTCAAGACTTTCAGTTTTAAGGAAAGAAAAAGATGCATACACAGAGTAGCAGAGAGATGATAGTTCAAGGTAAGGCATGAAAGAAGACAAGGCCAGTAGGGGACCCAATTACTGGGACCAACATTCCACAGCTCCTCCTAGAATAAAACAAGAAGAAACGGGCTTAAGCTAGTTTTATGCCTGTAAGTACTTTCTGAGAATAATAGTTGCTATTCTCTGATTAAAGACTTAAAAGGGATTTCAGAGTAGTCAGATCCTTCCAAAAAAAAAATAAATATACAATACTGAAGGCAAAGAGATATGCCACTCAACTTCAGCAGATCCCTTCCAGTCCATAAAATGGGGATGACCCCCTGCAGTGACTCCAACACTTCTATTCTCAGAGTGTCTAAACCCATCATATAGACCTTCTCAGACTCTTGATTCTTCAAGTGACATAATGCATAGCATAAAAAAACCTAACCCAATCTCCCTCCAAGGGTCCATGCATTTAAAATAAACCTACTGAGGTAGGCACATATGTAGCCTGAACTCAACTGTCCAGAGGATCGATTAAAAAGTCAACCCAGATGATCCAGAAACTTCTTTGTAGTTGTTATTTTCTCTCTCTGCTTCTAGTCCTATCTCTTAGCAGCTCCTAAATAGAAGTCAAATTAACTACCTTTCATTTCTTTTCTCTAAAAATCCCAGACCATTAGCAGGATGCAGGGAGCTCTGGATTGTAGTGTTGGGCCCCAGGAGAACTGAAGTAACCATCACTGTTTAACTTCTATAAAGTTGTAATTCATCATCTCATGCAATAATTTGATGATGCTTGCAGAAACTCAGCCTCCTACCAAACCATCCGTTTTCATCATGAAAAATGGAACAAATGTTGCTTGTCTGGTGAAGGATTTCTATCCCAAGAATGTAAATATAAATCTCAAATCATCTAAGAAGATAGTAGAATTTGACCCTGCTATAGTCGTCTCCCCCAGCGGGAAGTACAGTGCTGTCAAGCTTGGTCGGTATGAAGATCCAAATTCAGTGAGGTGTTCGGTTCAACACAACGGTGAAATGGTGTACTCCACTGAGTTTGAATTGAACACAACTTCAGTTGGTAGGTATCTGGCTTCAAGGGACTGGAGAGTGTAGGGAAGGGAAGTTGGGGGGAAAGAGAAGTTAGAGA